GATTTATCTGTGTGCTTTTCAGAACCCACTCATGACCAAACGAGTTCCCTCTGGACCAGTTCATTTATTGTGTTCAAACTTCTCAATAAACCTTTGAACTTTTCTTCTGCCTCTGAGTGTTCTGCATGTGGGTTAGACACGTTAAACCAAACATGACATATGTATATCTATACACGGAGGAAGCTGTGCGTATTCGCAATAACCTTGTGTCTGGAAGATGAAGCTGATGGGTGATGTTTGAGAGGTGACAAAATAAGGCAACAAGCTTCCAGGGTCCTTCCAAAGTAAAGCACGAAAGGACACCATCACCTGCGAGTCCTGAGAGTTCACTGAGGCGGACGGCCACAAACGGTTACTTAAAAAATGCCAAGTTGGGGTTAAAAGAGGTGTTCTAAAATAAAAAAAGGCTGCATATTGTACATTCACAGCTGTCATGCAGTTTTTTTTCTAGAAAGCTCCCTGACAAAGAGAGGGTTAAAGCCAAACGCCAATGCGTTCAGGTTTGAGGTTGTGTGTGTACCACATGTCATAAGGTGCCAAGCTCCGCCCCTTTCCTCCAATCCACCAATAGGCATGGGTCAGTTACCTGAATCAAGGCTTTATAAAGTCAGTTATAAATTATTCGTTCCTACTCTTCATTTTTGGGCCCAATGTCCGTTATAAGAAAAAATTTTATAAATCTTGTTTCTCTTCGAGGATTACAATGAAACTAGATATATAAGCTTAGCTTTCAAAATGTTTTTCTAACCTTCCAGCTGTGAATGGTCATTTATTATTACAAATTATTAACAATGAAGTTAATTTTTTCATTAAAATTTAAATTAATACATTTTTTATTTTGCATTTTTTTTAAACACAGGAAAAGTTTTTTTAATTCAAAAATGTATCAAAACTCTTTCAAGGAATGGACATATAAACGCAAACTGAAACCATCCGTTCAAATGTAGACCAACTGATTTTGGCCGTTTTAATTGCTTTACTACCTGCTTTTATCATGGTTTATTTCTTTTTTTCAACTTGCTTTTATTTTCCTTCTATTTTACTGAAATTGGGGAACTGAAAAAGGTGATTACATGGATTTTGTTTATTATGTAAAGTGTTTTTTCCTTCAATGCATTCACCAAAATACTAGAGGGGAAAAAGTGTTAAACTACTAAAACTAGTTAGGGGCAGATCTTAAATGGTCACACTATCGCAGTTTCCTAAAAAAATTCTATACCCAGAGATTTCTGAAAGGCTACCAATATTTCTAAATCCTGCATTTTTATAGCATAGGATGAAATCTCAAAAGAGTAGAATATGGCAAACTAGCTGTACTTAGTTGAGCTATTCGGTTATCTGCTTAGTTTTGCTCTCTCTCACTTCCTCACAGCTGAACTCAATACATGCTTTTTGAAGCAGGAAAATGGTCACCAAATGGAATGGGGAAAAGTTTATAGTCTCCACTCTGACATTTCTAAATTAAAAAAAGATCATTTCTAAATCACTTACAGCTATTGTGCTTTTAATGAGTATTTTTCAGCAACTTTCTGATATTAGCAAAGCTAACTTTAAGCAATATTCACACAGTTACAGCCAGACTTGTCCAAAGTCTCTTATTTTTATCCAAGACATCCGAGAAAATGATTGTGTGACCTGAGTTTTCTCTGGCTGTTCAGAGAACAAAGTAGCTCAACTTCCCCCTTCTACTATATATCTACATAATATAGAATATTTGCTAAAAATAATATTTAATAACGCTGTAATAATAAATATAGTAATATAGTAATAGAAACCGTATTTTAGTAGCAGTAGAATGGCTTGCTGCTTTGTAAATTTAAATAAAGAAATTCGATAATGAAATACTTTTTTGTTTTAAAACGATTGACACCATATTCTATCTCTTATTTACCGGCCCAT